GTAATATACTTCATGATTTCCAAGCCTTCCTCAACTGGAAAATCACTACCAAGTCTCTCTTGAAACCATTCAGTAGAGCTCTTTGTAATTGCTTTATAGCGTCTTTGTTCTGATTCAGAGTCTCCAATACCAAATCCCATGGTAACTGATTTTCTTTATGCGTAGGGTTGTAGCAGCATACAAATGAGTAAGACATGACACTTAGTCCATCTTCTCCCAAGTGCCTGATATAGTCTCACTGTGAATTTCACATGCTACCAAATTCAAGAATGCAAGAACATTAACAGAAACTAAAAAGAAGTGATAAAGAGCTACTCAGCAGTCAAATAAGTCTAGCAGTCAAAGGAGATACTTAACCCAATACTCTTGTGATCCATTCTAAGTCTGCAATAAAACCAAAGAAGTTTGAATCTGCTTGATACTATGTAATTAATCTGAGTCCGAACAGTTAACTGCTGTGAAAGATGCTATAAAATTATTATATGTGATTAAGGATGTATTATTTTACACCAGAATAATATGTGCTGCAGTGGAATATATCAACAAAGTATCCTAAATTCTAAGGGTGGGTTCATCTTCTCTTACTGCTTTCACACTGCAGAAAACGGAAAACACTATTCTTTCTGGTGATAAACAACTTCAAATTCCATTCAATCAAATCATTAAAGGCAATTTTTAAAAATGAATAATATGAAAACTGCAAAATTTAGAGTGGATGTTTCCTGTATTAATTTTGCTTATTATTGCACATTCTTTTGTAGCATTGTACATTTGCATAGTAGCACATAAAAGAAGATAGCATGGAGCTTTTATAGAAGTTTAATGGAAATATATTTATTTTCTTAATTATTTAATATCCATTGTAAAATATAAAGTGGCAGGCATTAAAAGAAAAAAGAACTAGCTCTCTTGTAAATAATTCATTTGAAAATATCAATGAATGTTAGAAGAAATATTCTGTCCAAAGCAAATACCTATCTTGAGAACAGTAATCTTTTAAAAAGACCTATATGCTATGAAATACCTTAGTCACATTTTGCCTTATTGCATGTCTATTAAATAATCACAAATGCATAAAAAGAAATAAATAATCATATAATCAATATCTCAGTGCTATAGTAATAATAATTTTCAGTTCATATAAGACACATTTGTAAGTCTTTCAAAATTCAGATTATAACTTTAAACAATGAGAATTTTCCTCTTTCAAACATACCACATTATTGTTTAGCATGATAGCAATAGTACTTAGACTTATATACCGCTTCACAGTTTTTTACAGCCCTCTCTAAGCAGTTTACAGAGTCAGCATATTGCCCCCAGTAATCTGAGTCCTCATTTTACCGGCCTTGGAAGGATAGAAGGCTGAGTCAACCTTGAGCCAGTTAGGATCGAACTCCTGCTTCTGTGGGCAGAGTTAGCCTGCAATTCTAATCACTATGTCACCACAGCTCTTGATATCTAAAACTAGCAAATACCGAAGCTTTGATGGGGTATGTGGTTTGTAAAATGTGGTTTATTTTGTGAATTTATTCAACAGTGTTTTATTTAATAAAACAAAGATAAACAGCCTATGATTTAACAAAATGGGTGAACACAGCTATTGTCCTGTTAGTCAAAGTTTACTATTTACTAGTCTTTCTATAATCAGTTCTCCTTCCTCCTGCAGCTGTGAGACTGGAAGGTTTTATTTCCTTTCAAGTGAATGTTACATATTTCGGTAGACATGGACGGTCTGGTGGAGATGAATGGGGGGCTGATGGAGGCTTTGGTTGGTTGACACTATGGTAGAGTGCTGCAGTCAGATGTACACTATGGACTGGGGGTTGTGCTATGGAATACGTGATCCCTAGGATCTTGTATTCCATAGCAGATTCCTCAGAAGAAAAAGCAATAGGAGCAACTTACTGGGGTGACTTGCAGCTTTCCCTTCTGACATCACTGTGATGGCATAATCACAAGCCAAGTACCTGAATGCCCAAATCATGATCACAGGGATGCTGCGATGGCAGAACTCTGAGGACCAATTGAAACAGCTACAACTTTGATGACCAATTGTACGTTCATTTTTTCAGCACCACCATAACTCTGAATGAATGGATATAAGCTGGAGAATATTGTAAACTAAGTCAAAGAACCCAGTGTGTCCTATCATTCATCATAGGCTCAATGGAATAATTCAGTTTCCAAAAGTCTCCAGAAGATTAAAACTGCAAGGCTAGTTAGGCTTCTATGGGAGGGCTATACCATAACATAGGCACTGCTACTGAAAACTAGCATTTAGGAACTTTTGCATGTAAGAAAAAAAAGATAACGTTTCAAAACATGGCAAATAAAGAGCTGACAAACATGGGAAATGGTTTGAGACAATCCATTTGGATCCAAAAGTCTACTAGCACAGGCCATCCCAATGTATTCTGTATACATATCATTGAATTAAAACACGACCACACCAGAGAAGGATGGAGAGGGTGTGGGAGGAGGGGACTGAGTATATATTAAACTCAACACAGCAGTACTGTATTATGTTTGAGTCAGACCATATGCATTTTTTAAACATGATCTTTAAAAATCCCATCTTTTGTTTGTTGAACATAAATATAATAGAAAACTGTGAAACCCATGAAATATTGGATTCTGAACTTTACATATGAATTAAATTCTTTAAAATGAAATCTGTTAAGGTGATACTTTGTTCAGGCATATTTTCAAGTGAATATACATCCAGCCTCAGTTAAAATACATATACACCAAGTTACGGATTTGGGATATTGGTTATAATGAAAACTGATCCTTTTTAATTGTTTCAATGAACTCTACGACTACAAACGTCAAGGAGGAATAATCACTATTCTAATTTGGAATGTGTAGCAGGTGGGTTCTATCACAAAAAGATGATACTGGACATGTAAGTATTTTATGTTAAAACCTGCACTGTATTTGAAAGCCCACTAGTAACCCATATAGAGCAAAAATGCTGTTCTTGCAACAGAGGGGTTACTGCATTTTGTATCAACTGCATCCAGTTTTGGTCACCACGATGTAAAAAAGATGTTGAGACTCTAGAAAGAGTACAGAGAAGAGCAACAAAGATGATTAGGGGACTGGAGGCTAAAACATATAAGGAACGGTTGCGAGAATTGGGTATGTCTAGTTTAACGAAGAGAAGGACAAGGGGGGACATGATAGCAGTATTCCAATATCTCAGGGGCTGCCATAAAGAAGAGGGAATTAAGCTATTTTCCAAAGCACCTGAAGGCAGGACAAGAAGCAACGGGTGGAAACTAATCAAGGAGAGAAGCAACCTAGAACTAAGGAGAAACTTCCTGACAGTGAGAACAATTAATCAGTGGAACAGCTTGCCTCCAGAAGCAGTAAATGCTCCAACACTGGAAGTTTTTAAGAAGAGACTGGACAGCCATTTGTCCGAAATGGTGTAGGGTTTCCTGCCCGAGCAGGGGGTTGGACTAGATGACCTCCAAGGTCCCTTCCAACTTTACTATTATTATTATTATTATTATTCCAGATAGTTTTTAAAGACAACCCCAAGGAAAGTGCTTTGTCAAATCTATTTTAGAGATAATGAGGATATGGATATATCTTGAAATAAAATACGCAGATTTGGAAAAATATAAATTTCTCCGTGTATTAACTAAATCAAAAACATTTAATGAATACATGTATTTGATCACTTATTAAAAGCAATGATTTCACTTTATTTTTCAGGTCTTTCAAATTTCTATCAGCTTATTTCAGCAACTAGGAATTTAAACCCCTTTCTAAATTATTTTTACAATTTTTTTTACTAAATTACTTCATGCAATCATTCTATTTTTCTATCTTTGGCTAGAGAAGGGTAGACTCCCATTGGATACTTCTAGGCCAGTGATGGCGAATCTTTTAGACACCCTCAAAACCGGCCCTGTCCTGTCCCACCTCCCCGCTCTGCCCCTGTCCTGCCCACTTCACCCCGCCTGGCCCACCTGCAGGGCCATTCACCGCCTCCACAGCCCGCTGCATATCTCCCAGGCAGCCCAGCAAAGCCATGGTGTGCATGCCCTCTGCCCGCACCCTGCAGCATCAACTGCATGTGATGGGGTGTAAGGGCAGAATCTTTTCCCCCCTGCCCGGCTGCCATGTCCTTGGCTGTGCTGTGCTCCATGTGGGCCAGGGCTCTGAGTGCTGCCTGTGGCACACATGCCATAGATTTGCCACCACTGTTCTAGGATTTACATGCATGTAGTTTTCTTAACATCACTCCAGATGAGATTTGCCATTACCTATTTTGAGATGTATATTGAATGCCAGTGATGGGCATTCTTGATATCTCCCAGGCCCATTTCTGCTTAAATGTTATGGGGTTACCTAAGCTGAACTAAGTGCTTCTAACTATGCATACATTAAAAAAGCAGTCTAAGAAACCAACACAAATTCATTACTTTATGCATATTTCTCTAGCTAAGTTACATCTTTAAAAATCAAATCAAGTAGCAAAATTATAATCACGATGCTCATTTTAAGGTTGACAATTCTATAGCAAAAATACCAGAAAAAAAAACAGAACAATTAAAACTACAGATATTTTAAGGCAAGTATTTATTTGTTTAAAATGATCAAACTGAAAAACGATCAAAAGATTATTATGTTCGTATGGCAGCAAATGACCTGCAGCACTCTGCATTTTCAAATTCTACAGCACTGAATTTATTTCTCACATTGTTTTCTTGCCCATTCTTTTTTTTAAAGGAGCTAAATTTAGCAATTTTATATGTCATGCTATTTCATCACCTCCCCAGTTTTTACAGTGTGTGTTTTTGCTATTAGTTTTTGCTCAAATTCATTATCAGGTAACACATATAATGTAACTTTAAAATAATTTTGCTTTACTGCTTTATTAGACACCTTCTGATATGCAATGCATCACGTGAGGATGGTCAATACAATCTATTATCAATTTCAATTTATTATGCAAAAATAATAAAATCATTCTGATTAAGTACCTAATGCTGTTCATGCTTCCAGTCTCAGATCCAAGTTTACATCTCTCCAGCTGGCTGGCTACAATCTGACGTTCAGCCTCAAGTTCTCTTGTAAGTCTTTCAAACTGTAACTCCTGAAAGATAAAATACAGATGCTTACGATGTATGTTGAAATGTTAGTCAATAGGGATCAACCTTATTAAAAGGCTTTCCCAAGAAATCTATCAACCCCAATTTCTGCCCTTAGGTACATCTTTACTATTGAAATGTGATGTTATGCATACAATTTCTATTATATTCCAAATGGCTATGGTTTTTGTTCAGAAAAGAGCTGGATAAATTTTGATAAAAAAAGAATGATTTGTGTTTCATTACTACTGGAATTACAATACATTTCATTATCCTTTTTTTCATTCCAGTATTGCAAATTTATGTTTGCTGACACAGGTTGGTCAACTACATTTCAGCCTAGCGTGTTTTTACAGATACAGCAGGCCATTAGTTTCTGGTTAATACAAACCCAGAAATTAGTTCAGTATATCATATTTCTAATAAATATATTCTACCATATCACTATGTTCTATAGTTACATACTATAGTTACATACTCTCTTACACATGCATACAAATATCCATATTAACATATTTGACTAAAAAGTGATAAATAATAATACACAAACATACACATACATGCAATATAAGGATGAAAAAATACAGCATTTGTATTTTTATAGCTAGCTATCCAGAACAGTTAATAATTTGTGCTTACAAAAATTAATTCAGAAATATTTAAAATTCTGACCAGTATGTGATTAGATCTCTTAGTATATTCTACAACTGTTGCAGTTGCAGAAACTGAAAATAATATTTTGTTCTGGATGGATGAAAAAATACCCAGAAACTTCCTCTTTGTCATAATTGTTAGAAAGTTTAGCTATTCTTTTTACTTATTCTCTCTTGTTCATCATTAAGAACCTCTTGAAATTTAATTCAGTTCCAGCAAGTCATGCTACATTGACTTTATTTAGAAAATTATTTTGATAATGGAAGTTTTATGCAAATTATATCTTGCTTTTAGCATAACTGAATGTTACAGAGAATTTGTACGAACCAGACAACAGCACAATGAAGAAAATAAATATTACAATAAAGCAATATCAAAATGATGTCAAAAAATAGCCTAGGAGCGTAACTACAATGGAATTTAGTATTTATAAATGTCTTACTATATATTACATTACTTGATAGTGAGATGGGAGGCACATAAACTTAATAAATGAATAAAAAATTAAAGAAACAATATTACAACATACTAAATATTTTAGTAGTGATTACTCATTTTTCAAGTATATTTTGAAAATAAAAGTGCTCAGTTCATTGATGTATACATTGGCTTTTTATTATTTATGTACAAAATCCACACACTTGTTTAGGCAGTAGTTACTTTCATTTCCATTTATGCAATGCTTCAGATTAATTTGGCTGTCATCCAGAATGGAATAATTCCCATACCAAAATTATTGTATAAATTAAATTATCTTTACATTAGAACTATACAAATTTACAATCATTCCAGTATGGATTATAATTACAAAATAACTAAAAATTGAATTATTATCACGGAGTATAAAATACTAAACCACTAAAATCTGAGTGTTTAAATTATAATTAACTAATGTTAATACTATAGCTATGCACAATATGGTATAGCATAAAACAGTGTAGCATGACTGTTAACGTATAAAATGAAATACAATTAAAAAATAAACCAAAAGGTTTAAAACTAGACACATGCCTGAAGAAATGGCCAGGATTTCTTTGATGTCAACTTGCTACCTGTTTACTGGATCTAGACTACTCCTATTTAGTAAAAGCAGCCAGAGAGATGACCCATGGTTGGGTCCGGGCCATTGTGGCAGCCTCTCTGAAGGAGATTGTGCCTCCTGTCTTGAAAAAACAATGTCATCTGTCAGGATCCTGAAAGTGTGCCTTCTCTGTGACAGTGCTTGCCCTCTGGAAGAGATTTGGATACCCCCCTCCATTCTGCTGTTGTTTAGAACAGTGTTTCCCAACCTTTCTGGATCGGTGGACCACTGGAGGTGGTGGTAATGGCGATAGGGGGGGAGAGGGGAAGGTTTTGTGTGCTTGTGCTGCTTTCACAAATGCAGCTTTGTGTCTGTTCACCCACCACTTCCATAGCCCAGTTCTGAATGGGCAGCAGCCTGGCACTGGGCTGTGGACCAGGGGTTGGAGACCCTTGGTTTAGAAGAACCATGAAGATTTGCTCTTTACCCATGCCTTTGAATGAGACCTCTTGCTTTATTCCATCGGATTTGTGGTGCTTGCCATCTTTTAGCTTTATATTTTGTTGATTTTATTATAATTTATTTGACTGTTGTGAGCCACCCATTGTTGTTGAAAGTCTGACAGTATATTTTTTAAATAATTTATTATTATGGTTGGTTCACAAGTCAGCCAGATGTTTAGAGCTTGTGTTTTTATCCATAAGCAGATTTGTTTGATGGTGTTAAAGGTATTATTATTATTATTAATTATTAACTGGTGCTAAACACACAGTATAGTTTTCCTCTGATGTTGCAGCATTTACTATATATCAGTTCCTGGCAAATTTTATACGCTGCAGTCCAAAACATGGCTACCTTATATGTTATGGGATTACAGTTCAAAAGTAATAAGAGAACATAAGATTAAGCTGTGCAACTTGACACCACTGAAAGTAATGCGGAGATAAGAGTGTGCTTTCAAAACCCCTGTAGAATGAGCAATGAACAAGTATGCATTTAGTAGACTGAAAACATCCAGTGTCAAAGTCATAGATATTCCAGCTATGGGATCTTCTATATCAGTTGAAAGGCTCTTCTCTTGCATGTTTTAGGACTTATAGCTTCATAAAATATACTACTTCTGCTCTATGTTTTCGGAATTAAAGCTGCATAAAATATTCTACTGCAAATCTGTGATTATTAGTGAAACAGATTCGAAGTCCTACTTAAATCAATTTGGCAATTCCATATTTGCTATTCGCCTTTAAAAAATAATCTAGTTCTTTTATAGTGGTACTGAGGGTGCTAATTTCACTAACAGTGATTAATTCTCAGAAAGTAGCACAATTGCAAAAAGAAAAAAACAATGCCATAAAGAAGTTGTGCCAGCATCTTTGCCCCAAATAATAAAAAAGCAAGTGGTATATATTTGCCTGTTTTTAGAATAGAATAGAGCTGGAAAGGATCTTGGAGGTCTTCTAGTCCAGCCCCCTGCTCAAGCAGAAGGACCTATACCTATGTCCAGTCTTTTTTAAAATTTCCAGTAATGGAGCGCCGAAGATTTCTGGGGGTAAGCTGTTCCACTGGTTGATTGTCCCTGCTGTCAAGAAGTTTCTCCTTAATTCCAGGTTATCTCTTTGATCAGCTTCCAACCATTGTTTCTCGTCCTTCCCTCTGGTGCTCTGGTGAACAACCTGACCCCCTCTTCTTTGTGGCAGCCCCTCAGATACTGGAATACTGCTATCATGTCTCCCCTATTTCTTCTTTTCTTTAGACTGGCCAAACCCAAGTTCCGCAGCTGCTCTTCGTACATTTTGGTCTCCAGCCCTTTGATCATCTTAGTTGCTCTTCTCTGAATTTTTTCCAGACTCTCAACATCTTTTTTGTGATATGGTAACCAAAATTGGCTGCAGTATTCGAGGTGTAGTCTTACTAAGGCTTTATAAAGTGGTACTAGTACATCGCGTGATCTTGATTCTATGTCTCTGTTCATACAACAATCCCTAAGCCTCTCCTTTTTTAGCTGCAATGGCATTACACAACAATATCACATTTTACACATAACATGAACGTTGCAACTTTTATTCTTTCATTTTTTGAATTTTTATCTTACCTTTATTATTTTTACAAATAACTCAAGATAGTGAACATACATAATGCTCCTTCTTCCTCCTATTTTCCCCAGAAGAACAACTCTGTGAAATGAGAAGGGCTGACAGAAACTGACTGGCTCAAGGTCACCCAGTTGACTTTCATGATTAGGAGAGAACTAGAATTCACTGTCTCCTGGTTTCTAGTCCAGCAGCTTAACCACTACACCAAACTGGCTCTTTTAACTAGAATTATATCATATAACTTTTAATTTAAATTTGTCTCCAAGTAATATAATATGAACATCATTTTTTTCAAGTGAATAGAAAGTCATTTGTAATTAAAAAGCACAACAGTGCAAAACTGGAATTAGGACAATGAAGAAAAGGAAAGATCAGTCATAAAAAAGAGATTAAACACTTTTGCAGTAATTTCACAGTTGCAGAATTCATAATGCTGCTTCGGAATTCAACAAGTTCTTATTGAAAGTGTACCATATTCAGAAAACAGAGCCACAGTATCTTAGCTGCCAAAATCTGTGCAATGTTTAGATGGCAGCATTATGATACAGAAAAAAAATATTGACATCTCTTGGTCATCTGGATTTTTGCAATCAGATAAAGTACAGCTGTTCTATGTTCTAACCTAACATTTCCAAAATTGGCAAATTTAAGATGGAAATTCAATTTCCATCAGTGTTGGCTGAGGAATTCTGGAAGTTGAAGTTCAGATTTGAAAAATATTATTCTAATCTATGACATATTTTTGAACAGCTGGTTCCTTTGTCATTGATAGGTGATCCGAAAATGTAGACACCATCCACCACTTCTGTATATTCACTGTCAACTTTAAGTCTGGCTACTGTGATTATGATAGATCATCTTTATATTAATCTTAGACCCATGTTTGATTGTGCTCTGTAATTTTCATTGTTAGAACTCACCAATTTTTTTTTTCAATTTCCAGTTTTCCGAGTAGTGTCATCAGCATAGCACAGGATGTTGGTGTTCCTCCTGTTTTAAAATCACACTCACTTTCTTCTGATTCAGCTTCCTTCAATGTATATTTATGGAGATTCTCAGTCATCCAGGTAATGGTTGTCCCAAAGGTGCTTTCTTTCAAAAAGCAACTTTCTTCTTTTGGTTGAAGACATTTCGCTTCTCATCCAAGAAGCTTCAGTTCAGTTCTAACTGAATAGTGGAGAATGGAAGGATTTATATTCCTTGCAGTCTTCTAGTCATTAGCACTCTTTCTGAGAGT